AAATTCTTTTAATTTTAATTTTAAAAAGTTTTCTGAAATATACACTCAGATGCAAAAAAACGCAACGGAGAAAATTTTTGTCAAATTTAAAGTGTTATATTTTTGTTATTTTTAGCTCTATTTTCATGAATTTTTTAGCAATCTGTATATAACTATATCAACTTTAATTCGTAAACTCAGTTTTTTATTAACTTTAGTATTTGGCATATTATACAGGGTTAATCGAGGGGTTGTTTTTTTACCCTAACTTTGACACACCCTGTGCAATAATTTTGTAAGCAAATTTTTCTAAATTATAATTTTACGGTCAGAACCATGTTTTCTGAGCATTTTGTTTTTTGGATCATGTCAATATATGCCTTGATTAATTTTTAAGAGCGAAATGAACGTGCCACCTACAATTTGCAATTTTTTCAATTATAATTTCTTTTTGAAGTCAATATGACAAGGGGGCTTTGGTGATTATTGTGAACTATATACTACTATGAACTGCCCATCATGTTCGACGTTTCAGAAATGCTTGGCAGGAGGGTTAGAGGTCACGAAGCGGTACCAGCTTCATTAAATGAACTTCGCTTGGTTCTTAAAGAAGAATAGGAAAGCATAGCGCATAGCGCAATACAGTGGCGCATCCAGAGATTGTGTCTGGGAGGGGTAGTGGCAATATTTAAATAAAGTAATACATTTAAATTAAATTTTCGCTCAAAGGTATTGAGACTATATGGAAAAAAATAAAATAAGATTGTTCTCGACTTCTATTTTGATTGACATTATTAATTTATTTTGTGACAATTTTATTTTATACCAAATTTTTTTATTTATAATTTTTTTCTGGGAGGGGTAATTACCCCCATTACCCCTACCGTATATGCGCCCCTGGCGCAATATGATATTTGCAGTCTCGATGACAGTATGAAAGGACGTATACAGGCAGTTATAGCAGCCAGGGGAGGCAATACAAAGTATTGGGGTATTTTTTACAATTTTTTTTCGGTTTGTATACTTCAGTATTAGAGATGTTTTCTTTAATATCGTATTAATGTTTATTAAAACTAGGACTGTATCGTTAGTCTTTAACGTTTTTTTTATTTATTATAGAGTATCCAATGCAGCGTAATATGACGTTACGACAATAGTCACCCAAACCATCTCGTCATGTTAAAAAATTACATCAAAAGTAATGATAATTGAAAAAATTGCAAAATAATCGTTGCAAAATAACATTTCGCTCTTAAAAATTAACCAAAGCATGTATTGACATGATCCAAAAAACAAAATGCTTAGGAGACATGGTTCTGACCAGGCGGATGAAACTGCCATTTGAATTTTGGAAACACGGCGGAGTTTCTACCAGTAGAGGGATAGATGGCGCTGCGTAGAAATTTCATCTAAAGTCCCTAGATATTCATCTAGGGACTTTAATTTCATCATGATTTTATCAAGTCATCCACAGAGTATAATTTAATTAACAATTCGTTTGATTCTCTGTGGAGTAATTGGAGTAGTTGGAGTAGAAAATGTAAATATTTATATAAAATGTTCATAATTTAACAGTGATGTGCTTTGTTACCCTATGAATAAACATTGATATGAAGTTGCTTTCGCCAGAAACAATTATAATTAAATAATTTAATAAAAATTTAATTTCTAAGTGACCCGGATCAATTAGATCAGTAAAATAAATTGAAAAATAAACGTCATTCCATATTTGGCAATGTCTGTCAGTTTCTGTGAAGTGCACAAAACATCCCCCTTTAGAACTTTTTCTTTAATGGCCATAAGCGGGAGTAAAAGACCAACCGCCCGAACAAACACTAGAGGCGCCACCGGTCATCAAATGGTGTAAAAATTGCGAAAATTTAATCATCTAATTTTGACACAAGGGGTCGCGCTTAACTTTTTCAATTTTAATTCAATATTCATTGTTTTCAAACTATATTATTAGCTCTGTTGTATTTTGGGAATGTATAAATGTTTTCTTAGTATAAAGTTGCATTATCGTAATTTAAATTATATTACATACATATTTAAGATTCAAATATTATGACATATATGTCAGTTGCCGTCATCTTGATAACAAAAAGTTAGTTATTGTCAAAAGTAGTTAAAATCATGTTAAAATATTAAAATTTTTAAGTTATAATTAGATATTTTATATTATTTCAACAACAAACACATAATAGTACAGCTTAATGTTGATATGCAGGTGCAAAACAAAAATTGCCGTTATATTTTTCAGTTTTCGTTGTCAGCTGCGGAAGTTTCAGTGATTTTAGTGTTGTAGGATATTGTTATTTGTGTAATAGAAATATTGCGTTTGGATTGCAAAACTAAAAGTGGAAGTTTTATTGCAATGTAAGTAAGCGTTTGTCCATTTTATATTTCACTTTTTTCATACCTACGACAAATATACATATATTGAAATTTTATAATTCGTTTTATTTAAAAAATGTTAGAAAACAAGCTTGTAATCCTGTAATTGACATAATTGTTATGTAATATATTCCATTTAAATGTAATATATTACTTTACAATAATTAAAAAAATGTAAATTTAAAAAATATATTAAAAATATATACAGGCATTAATTGAAATTTTTTGAGTGCGAACAAACACGAGAGGCGCTTTATTATTTACTTTCATTTCTTAACATGACAGACGAAGTTCTAAAGGGGGATGTTTTGTGGTGAAGTGGAAGTAGGTGGAAGTGAATTGTGATTTGTTTTTATGGGAATATTTTACGGATTTTTGCGAATTTAGAGTATTTTGGACGATAGGATTGTGAAATTTAAAAGCCAAGTAGTTTAATATATAAGATTAATTAATCCCTGTGATAATTTTTATGAAATTTCTCATAATCAAAACAAATTCTTTCAACAAAATGGCTGTCTCAGAAATTTGGAAGATCATTAATTTTAAAGTTTTATTTAAGTGTATTTATATCGAATCAAGAATTTGTATAACATATTAAAAGCTTAATTTTAAAGGTTGTGCAGTAATTTATGTAAGTGTACGCTTTTAGATAAATATTAAATATACAAATTTGCAAAGACAAACAAGTAATTTTAAAAAGATCATTTATTTATTTAAACGAGTATAATCATTAATCATTAGGTTGAAAATATATTTGTATTTACTTATTTATATATTTTCTATACCCTTGTATTATTTATAAGCCCTATATGTCCTGTTTTATTTGAAAAAAAATGCTTCGAGTCATCGAGAATAGATTTAATAACAATTTTTGTCCCTTGGCTTTGTGTATTATATAATGTGAATTGTAAGATGTTTCTATTTGAATAGGTCATTAAAGTTGAGATTAAAGTTATACCAAATTATATTCATATGTCTTTTATATAATGAATTATTTATTTATAATTTATAACCTTTTTTATAATTACTTATAACTGATTGTATAAATTCTGATAACTTTTATATATACTTGTATAGTGTTGAATGTGTTATATGTAATTTTATTAACAATGTTATAATAAAATAATCAAGTTACAAATTTTTTGTGTTTTATTCTAATTTCAGGGATAATTTCAACCTAGATTATTAATTTATTTGTATCAAAATACATTATTTTTATTTTGTAAAATGTTTTGTTACAAATAAGTTCATAATCTAGATTGAAATTACCAAATATAAGTAAAAAACTTATGAACTGGCAGTAAAGGCCCATTTAAAAATATGGCGCGAACTTTTAGTTCTGCCAGTAGCCCGCTTGCATCGCGTCGAGCGCGTGTTTCCAGGCTTTAACATAGGAGTTTTCATTTCTTTCAGTTAGTTATTCTATGGTTCTGACCGTAAAATTATATTTTAAGAAAATTTACACACGAAATTATTGCACAGGGTGTTTCAAAATTAGGGCAAAAAAACAACCCCTCGATTAAACCTGTATAATATGCGAAATACTAAAGTTTATAAAAAAAAAGTTTACGAATTAAAGTTGATATAATTATATACAGCTTGCTAAAAAATTCATGAAAATAGGGCTAAAAATAACAAACAAAATTTTTTTTCTTTAAATTTGTCCAAAAATTTCTCCCTTGGGTTTTTTTGCATCTGAGTGTACAAATAAATTTAAAGAAAAATACAAAATTATTATTTTTTACAAAAATAATTTATATGCAAGAAACACCCTGTATAAACATAAAAATGTTTTCAAAAACTTATTATAAATATTTGTAAAAGATTGACTAATATTTCTGAATATAAATATGAGTATAATAAAATGTATAATAAAATATCAAAACGTAACAAATACTAAATAAAATTCAATTAAACGAAAAATAAAAGATGTGCATCAATATATTTATTATATATACAAAGTAATCCATTCTAAGTGGTAGATAAAAATGAATCCAATTCACAGGGAGTTATATGTTGAATTATAGGCTTCTGAAATATTAACCCTGTTTCCAAATTTTGTTTGTAAATTATTTTCTATACACATTTTATTTTCCATATAGTCTATTCCAAATAGATTTTTTTCAGCATTATTTTGAATATTTTTGAATAGTATCCATACGAAGAATTAAAAAGAAATAGTAGAATAATAAATTAATATAATAAACAATAAGCAAGCAAAAGAGTATTACAAGTTACAAGGTATTATTTAAAATGACTAAGTTTTTGTTATCAAATTTGTGATAATTTGGAAAAAAATGCTTGAAATAATATTTTCTTAAAAAACAAAAAACCGAGGAGGACCCTCTGTATATAGAGGGTGAATCTTAAATAAGTGCAAATATTTTCAGGGGTGGTAGATCTCGATAAAAGAAACATTTCTCTTTACCGTTTCTCAAATAAGTCCAAAATAACCGACATATTTTACTTTGAAATTTAAAAAAAATAATTTTTCGTTTAAATTTTGAGTTGAAACCGCTGAATCTTTTATGGGTTGTCTTTATTGTAAATTTAATCTACTACCTATGTTGCCACATTAAGAAAATATAAACCTCATAGACGTGTTTCTGAGGTGGAAATATACTACCTCTAAAAAATTTTGCACTTATTTAAGACTCACCCTGTATATCTGACTGTCGATTTGTTTTGTTGAAAAGTTACATATAAAATTGTCTTTTCCATAAAATCCATAAAAAGTAGACTTTACGTGTATAATAATAATATACTGTAGGAATGAATATTTTTGATCAAATATCTTTCTAATAGTTTAACACTCTCACATAAATGTATATAACTTTACACCTATCATTACACGATTATTAACAATAATAAACTTCTGGAAAATTACTGTGGGTATTTCGCCACTGAATAAGAAATTTAAAAAATAAGTTCCATGTGAATTACAACTCTGTGGTATTTTACAAAAAAAATAGGCTTCAAATTTCATTAGATTCTGTTTCACTGGCAAAATACCAAGTGTTTTGTTTCCAGAAATGAAATCACCACAAAGGTACAGACATTATTTTAAGAATAAACTTGATATACAATCTTACTTCAAAGCACGATCACATTATTTTATACGATATTTTCATTAATTGAATCATTTTTGGACCTACTGAGTATCTCCTTTTTTGCCTTTTTAACCACTTAGGACGAATTACCCTGTATATTAATTGTAATTGTAATTGCTTTCAGTCTATTTGGTCCGTTTCTCAAGTGGTGGCGTTGGCGTTGTCGAAACCCTTCACCAAAGTTTCTATGATGAACTTGATGGTTATCTGGTAGATGTTCTCCACGTTCGACGTGTATCTATCACCTAACGTTGTTTCCACGGCGTCTAAAAACGGTTTCTCTATTTTCTGTAACAAAAATTTAAATTAGTTTGTAACAATTTGTAATTATAAGAAACTATCTCAAAAAACGCTAAGTGTCCATAAAAGGTTTACTAAAAATGAGATTTTTTATTATTATTGAATTATCGAAAAAAAAGTTTAAAGCTTCATTCAGCCCCTCGCAATTAGTGGAATACATTAGTGGTTTCAATTAGCGTAGAAGTTTGTTCCTCTACTTTGAATGTACGCATTCAGAACGTCAAAATAAATGGTAAGGATTTTTACTTAATGGAAAAAGTTAACAAACATTCAACTTTTCCACTAATTATACTTCAAAATTTGTCAATGTCATTTTGGCCATTGATTATCATCTGTCAAAAGAAAAATATGGTTAGAAATCAAATGTTTATGTTTTGCTTTGAATAAGAAGACTAAGGAAGGAGCATATCAAAAATCTTAGGTACACCGCGATGGGCCTCAAATATGGCCGACTTAAATTCCGGTTTATCAGTGCCGTTCTAATTTTATTTAAAACATGTAAAACTGTGATGTAGGGTAGACGTGGGGTAGACTCAATATATTTTTTTTATTTTACGTTGTGAATAAATGTTAGTAGTTATTAAAATTGTTATAAAAATATAAAATTCTAATAAAAATAGATAAGTTATAATAATTATTTATAACCATAAACATCCGATACACTACTGAAGCAGGTAAGTCAAATTGACGTATCTAAATTCTTTGACATCTAAATCTTTGACAAGTAGTAAATAAAAGCAAAAATGCAAGAAAAAATATATAATTAGTTAATTTAAGTGAATTTCATAAATGATCGGTTTACTACACGTATGTATATTATATAGTCACTTACTAGCGAAAAGTTGTTCCATTATTTCACTCGATTTTTGGCGAGATTTACCGCACGCTACACAACCAACTATTTTAGAGTCTTTTTCGATAAATCGCGATAGTGTCACTGTTAATTTTAGTTCTGTCACAATGTCTATCTAGATTAACTACCTTTATACAAATATCAGTAGTAGAATAAATAATAAATAACATAAAATAAGCTCCGTAAAGACTGACAAATCCACAAAATTTCAAATCAAATTCAAACGTGTCAATTCGTCAAACAGAACTGTCAAAGATCCCCACCTTAGAGTCCTTTTTCCACCATGCATGAATATGAATACATTGATAGCATTATGCTCCTTCATCTTTCCTTCATGGATACAAGTGATTACCGCAAGCTGTTGCTAGGATATTCTATTAATTTTAATTGTGTTTTTTAAACATTGTGAATGATCGTAAACTAAAATCTCTGCTAAAATGTATAAAGTGTAATTGAAACCACTACTTTATACCACTAATTGCGATGTTCTGAACGAAGCTTAAGACAAAAAACCTTATTTGAAAAAAAAGTATTTAGAAAAAAGAGTTTTTCGTCACACTCTACAGGGTGGGTCAAATTCGACGCTTTTAAACGGAAACACCCTTTTCTATAGGAGATAGACGAAAACTAATATCGGTGTCTGGAGCTCAATTTTCACCGAAAACATGATGGTGAAAGCCGCACATCAATATCTATTACCGTTTCGGAGTTACGGGGTGTTTTTCAAAAATGTGCATTTTTAACAAATCGCTGTAACTTTTTTGCTATGGAAAATTTTGTGTTTCTATGAAAACATTTTCAAAGCACCTTTTTACGTAGAATTTAATGGTTTAAATATAATTTTTTTTTAATTAATAATTTAAGAGTTATCAACAGAAAAAATGATTTTTTATTTGGGACACCCTCTATATTTTTAATTAACTGAAAATAATTTAAAATTACCTTTCCAAAAATATAGCACACTTGATATTTTGTTATAATCCCCTTCGAAATACAGAATTTTTAAAAGTTCGCCACTTTTAACTAGTAGGCTCTGGACCCCTTAGTGATGATATGCCCTTAATGGAACTTGAAAACAATTTTCCAGCAAGACGACGCACCGCCTCAGAACGCTGAAGTTATCAGCAAATTTTTGCAGCCATTTCAGGAATCATTGAATAGCTAACCAAGATCCCAGCCGTCGAGACCGCCTGATTTAGTGCCCATGGATCTAATCCTATGGATATATTTGCGGAAGAATAAAGGTCTCTTGGTCCTTATTCTTCCGTATAATCTAGACAAGAATTAGAAATACTTAGCAGTTATGAGGGGTATCTTTCACCCCCACTGAGTTAATGAATTCCGCGAGAAATGTTCAAAAGGTCTGTCCATAACAGAAGACGGTCGATATGTCGAACACCTGTAGCAAAATCTCATGTCTTGGTTTGTTATTTATTTTTATTGTTATTAGATATAGTTTAAATGTGATCCAGTTGGTTTGGTATTTTAAATTGTTATAAAATTCTGCATCTCTCATAGCAAATATATTATTAGTATTATTTTCGTTTTAATTGATGTTCACAGCTAGAATTTTTTTGCATTACAGCCGGTGCCGTTCAAAGCCTACTTACTTATTTAAAGCGGGCGAATTTTTAAATACTCTATATCTCGAAGAGGAATCGAGCAAAATATCAAGTGTGTATATTTTTGGAAAGGTAATTTTAAATTCTTTTCAATAAATTAAAAATATACAGGGTGTCCCATATAAAAAATCAAATTTTCTGTTGATAATTCTTAAATTATTAATTTTAAAAAAATTATACTTAAACCATTAAATTCTACGTAAAAAGGTGCTTTGGAAATGTTTTCATAAAAATACAAAATTTTCTATAGCAAAAAAGTTACAGCGATTTGTTAAAAATGCATATTTTTGAAAAACACCCCGTAACTCCGAAACGGTAACAGATATCGATTGCGGTTTTCACCATCATGTTTTTGACAAAAATTGAGCTCCAGACACCGATATTTGTTTTTGTCTATCTCCTATAGAATAGGGTGTTTCCATTTAAAAGCGTCGAATTTGACCCACCCTGTACAGTATGTCCCTAGATTATCTTTACGAGACGAAAAACTGTTTAATTATTGACATTTTAAAAAAAATACATTCTTCCATTTCCATTTTAGATGAAGTAAAATTTTTTAAGCTAATCCCGTATATTCCTTTCAAAATTTCCATGCATGTTTTGAGAAAAATAAGTTTGAGTATACCTAAATCAAAAGGTGTTTCTATTTCATTTCATTCTTTGATCGATAGTTATTATTAATTTTAATTAACGTCATATTTTTGCTGTTGTTAATCACATTTTCCGATAACTATTATCACCCTTTTCGTAATATTGAACGAAATAAATATTGTGTTTCTTTAATTTTTAAAACGTCAAAAAATATGACGTTAATCAAAATTTTATCTTATCAATAATAGTTTATCCCAGAATGAAATTATATTACCTTAAAAACGCGTTTTAATTTTTAGGACTCCATACTTCAAAATTCAACTATATTTTCAAGTTTTTTTTAATTTTCTCTAAAACGGCATGGAAATTTTGAAAAATATAAGCGGTATTAACGATTTTAGCAGAGCAAAAATTTTTATGAAAACGCCAATGTGTTAGCAGGTATTCAAAACGTAGTAGGACAAATCCACATAGGAGATTCACTTGATTCAGTTGAAAGACAGCAGACTCGCTACGACACGCCAAATAACGAAATTGATTTCGAAAAACTAACTTTTTATTTTTTGCTGGTGGTATTGAGTCTTGTTTTTCTATCTGCTGCCTGGCTGCCACCTAACAGTTTAATAAGAAATGCTGTTAAAAATGTATCATAAAAATTAGTGATGGGATAACTCGAGCGAAAATTCGCTCGAGTACTCGGTTATTAAAATAACCGATATCGCGCGATTACGAACGAGCGATGCAAGTGAACGAGCGACCAACGCAAGCGATCCATGAAATAAATTGAAATCCGATTTTAATGTGACATACTCGATACAAAGCCGAGCGAATTTTCTACATACAATGCAGGTAGCAAATTTATACGACGTTATCCGTTGCGTTACAAAATGTTACGACCAACATCGACAATACTTCAAAGTAAACTAAACCAAGCAGTACTCGTCGCTCGTCGCTTGCTACTTACCATTCATCACCGAAAGAATAAGTGCTCTGCGCACGCAACTTACAGCTTGGCGTTACGAGTTGCAAGTACAAGCGAGAAGCGACGGGCGAAAAACCGTATTTTAATACGAGCGAAATGTCGCTCGAGCGATCGCTCGATTATTGAAATCGCTTGAACCTCGAGTACTCGATTATTGAAATTAATCCGTTTTTCCCATCACTAATAAAAATATATAATAGTTATTTTTTATACAAGACGATAAAATGGCATTTTATCGTCGACCGAAAAGATTAATTCACGAGTGAATTAATTTAAAAAAAATTATTATTTCAAGGAATTTATTACGAGTAGAAAAAATATTGTGCTGGGTTGGCGTTGGTTTCTTTCTATGTAATTTGACAAATAAATAAAGCTGTCTCTTTAGTTGGCAGTTTTGAGTCAATATTTTTTAATTCTCTTTCATGTCCATTGCTGATTGAATTGGAGCCAGAAATGGCTCAAAACGAAATAAGTAAATTACCAACAGATATTCAGGCTGAGGCGACAAACGCCATATCCAAACTACTTCCATTTAAATCCCGAATAACTTATGAAAAGGAATATAAACATTTTCAAAAATGGCAGCAATTAAAAAACGTGCGAGAAGAAATAAAGTTTATAACCTATCCTCGCTGCTAAAGTATCATTTAATCTACCCTTAAATTACTATTTTGTCTACTATTTTTGATATACAGGGTGTTTCAAAACAAATGCGAAAAACTTTAGGGGGTGATTCCTTGTTCAAAATAAAGGGTAGTTTGCTTTATAAACGTTGGGTCAAAAGTCAACCATTAGGGAGATATCGCGGTACAAAGATGGCGGAAAAATAATGTTTTTATTTTTTATCTTGAAAACGAAAAGAGATAGACTAATGAAATTTTATGGAAGCATTACTGTTATGAAAACACACTTTCAGGTATTTTTTTTACTTTTTTAAAAT